GAATGAATAGCTGAGTGATCAAGACTATCAGCAGCATTATTGTTTCACCGGGAGGTCATAACTGGTCCTGCCAGTCGACGGGGTTTTAATACTTAATCGCCATTCGAGTCATCAGGATTCACATTTGTACCTTTGCTTTATGAAATCGAAATGGTCCCCCGGCTCACTAAACATACACACACACAGTCGTCTATGAAACGATCAAGAAGGAAATTACAAACTGTACGACACCGAATTCCGCGAACAGGTTTTTCAACTCTTTCCAAGTTTCGTAAGGAATAATCAACCCGTTTTCATGTCAAATTAACTGGTCACTAACACTAGTTTTAATTATCGTGTTGTAGTCTCTCAATTACACAGGAATCTTACAACGATAAATGTTTGGAAGTCCTAAATACCTGTCCTATCAACTCTTCTTTTTATGGATTTGGCAATCACGGGTGATAATTGGTGGAAAATATTACGAATACATCTTTCTTGAGTTGATTTCCTCACATTTCGGTCAAACGTTTGGATGAGTGGATTTCTTTTCTCGGATTGTATGGTTATCCTATTTTGGATCTCAGTTCTCTAGCCCAGATCACAAGGATGGTATTTCCATCTGACTAGATTTTTTTCCGGGAGGAATGTGCGTATATGTGTGTGCGTGAGGGGGTTTCTCTCTGTTTTTGTTTTGTTGATATCATTAACCAGGGATTTGTGAGACATTTCTGAAATCCGTATCCCCGTAGATTTTATTTTTCGCACGAAATTGGCGGTGAGGTTGTAGCGTAAATGACAAAAGATATTTCCATAACGGACAACAACAATAGCTGTTACATAGCAAAACAATTCGAATAAATTAAATTTGAGTGGAATTCGTCGTCAGTCTGTGGTTCCTGGTGCTATACTCCCGGATGGAAGACAAATTCTCTAGCAGTCGTTAAACATTGAAAGTATGAAAGCAAGACCGGTTCATAGGTGAACAGAAGAAGCGTCTTGAACTGGTGGAGGAAGAACAGAAGGGATGTCAAATAAAGATGTGCTGATAGGCCCAATATCAAATCTCTCATACGGTCAGCTCAAGTAGCAACACGAGCTATTGGAAGAGATCAGACGTAAACCAAGAAATCCGGGTAGAGACGAAACCAAATGGTCGCTAACATATAAACGCGATAGAAACACTTGTGATAACCCACAAAGAGCACTGGGCAGCTATTTCGTCCTGTTTTCGACTCGTCAGTAGTGCGTACTTTTTATGTCCCTGACAGGACTCTAACCGCGAACCTTCGGGTTGAGACTTCAAATCCGTTCCCCTGAGCTACATAATCGACGGTGATCATCTTGTGCGCTTCGAGTCCTGATAGGGACACATAATGTATGCACTGCTGACAAGTCGTAAGAAGGAAAAAGCAGCTGTTTAAATCTCTTTCTCGGTTATCACACTGATATTTCCATCGCAATTCAATGCATTCAACTAGGTGAGAATTGAAGATCTTTCAAAGAGTGAGACCAACATCCAGAGACCATCAAGAGTATCTGGTGCCTCTGAACAATCAAATGATCTAATCCAAACATGACGCTCCAGTAAATGCCATTGATATTTTCATGATTCTTTTTATTGATGCTAATTTAGCCCTAGTCAAATACCTAATTCCCTCGAGCACATTTCCTTGCCGGTTCCTAATCTACAGTATTTGGTGATTGTCTAAAAATAAGTTTCAGACTACTCTGCATCAAGTTAAATGTGAACGCATACCTCGCTTGACGCCATTCATTCAGCACTGTGAGGATAGCAGCCAGATGAGTTGAACCGTCCGTTTCTCCGGAAACCAAATGACGCTCCAGGGCTGTGGTCAATTCGGACAAAAGTATCGTCTCCGAACTGGGATTGAATCCCAGCGTCTGCAGAGAAAGAACAGTCGGTGGGATATTCCGGAGGGAACAGCCAACAGGGTAATAGTAAACTAGGAAGCTTTTAAGGGTCATGTGTTTTACAGTAGTGTAACTTGATTAGGTTAATTGTGTGAGTTTAAGTGGACTTCTGAGACAATTTGTGATGTATATTTTCATGTTCATGGTTATTTTTGGCGAGTTCCGGATTAGTAAAATTGGGGTTTCTAACTTCAGTCCCTTTGACCATGAATGGCCTCAACGCCTGATTATTTCCTAATTTAATTCATCTAAATGGATGTTAGACTTTTTGATTTATCAGCTAACAGAGATCCAGTGTGGACGAGAGGATGTTATGAATAGGTGCCCCGCCATAGTAACAGTGATAAAAAGACTTTACAGGTCCGAACTTCGGTTACCTATATATCTGATAAGTTGAGATCACGAGAGAGAAAGATGAAAGATTGCTAGACAAACGCGAAACTCACAGCGTGGAGATTGAAAAGACACCGAATTCATGGGAATTTGAGCTGTTTTATGAAGAATCCTTTTGTTCAGGCAGGGTACTTTGTTTGATTGTGTGTAGTCAGCACCAAGAAATATTTTTTTCATTCTGTGGTATGTTGGTTAAATCAACGTTTACATAATGAATGTAATGGCCATGACTGTATGTCTATTTAAGTACCTTTTATCTGCAGTCGTGGTCCCAAATCACTATCCGGTTGAGGCAAGAATTTTTTGGCTACCACTGACTATGGGAGAGCGGAAGAATTCGCAAACAATGCAGATAAAGTTTTTATTTGAACATTAATTGCCGTTACTGTTGATCATTGTGTCTCCAAGCGATTGGACACTCATTGCAGAGTGTAAAAGCATTAGAATTGTAGCCGTACATTAATCTCTGATTTGCGTCACAGGGCGTGGAGAAAGCGGACGCGTTGTTCTTGAGCAGTCCAATGGTGAAAAAAAGCTATGATGTGATGGCATATTTGGCCAGTTAGACGACACCCCAATCGCGGATGATTTAGCCGAATGCTATTTTTGAACTATGTTGTTTAGGATCAGCAGAGAATCTGCGAAACCATTCTCATCATTGCACAGCGAAATACAGTGAGAAGCGAGCATCACTGGTCACTACCAAACTCGTAGCTGAAATGAAATTGGTGGTAATACGTAAGGCGAAGCAGCGATTGAACTAACTTTGAAGGAGAGAGGCAAAGAAAGTGAACCTCTATGGTCAGCACACAGAGTACACAGTCCACCTGTGCATTCATAGCGTCTTAAGCATTCTGGACGGATAAGAAATGACATCAAGAACACCACTACTGCCGGTTCTCTATCATATCCTACAATATCCCCAACCAATCAGTTTCAGAGTCGTTCGGAAGGAAGATGTGAGATACCTACTCTAACTAATAACTATGAACACTTCTTTATGCCTCATCTAAACGTCATATGTGGACCTCCACGGGGTTTCCATTGATCCCGGAGAGGCTATTCAGCGGCGGACGACAACTGGGCATCCGTACTGCGTGCCTTAGCCAACGAAGTATATCTGCAAAGCTGTGCTTCGTACCGCAGACACATCTATCTGACGAGTGGTACTTGCCGCAAAACCGATCAAGCGCTTCCAGATTACTTTTTCATTTTTTTCTAGTCATTCGAACATACTACGTCATTTAGCAAATGTGGCTGGCTGTATTGCTTACGTAGTCGACTAAGCAAATATTGAAAGAACTATACCCTCGGTTTTTATCGAGCTTTTCAGCTGCACACCCTCATCAGAGCGAGGGCTGCACGCTCGTGATCTACTCAATCAGAAGGAATAGGTGAGTAAGTAAGTGAGTGAAGGATTGAGTGAGTGTATGTGGTGAGATGACGCATACCACGGAGCGACGCGTTACGGTTTTAGGACAACTGTGATCAATCAAACTTCGCGGGTGACATCAGCAAAGCGCACACGTGTCACTACTTCTGGACTACATGCCATAGGTAGATTTTACCAGCCAATGACAACCCATGCAACCAAGATAGAAGCAGAACAACGGCAGAAATACCGGAATGCGATTGGCAGAAACCAGGATGAACAATGAATTTGTTTGTATATATTCTTAAATTCCCCTTACTTCTTTCAATAAACGAATCACTTCTCCTGAGGCCTTTTCCTCGCATCTTGGTCCCGTGGGATATTGCCTGCAAGTACCAATGCGTACGTGACGTCCGTGATTCCTAATCCTTGATTTGTATTCCTTGATTTATATTGCGTGGTTCGTATTCCGAGTTCAGTGAGTACCACTACTACCATTATTACAATCATTACAGTGGGTGAGTGAGTGAGAGTGGGGAATAAGTCAGTGAGTGAAGGATTGAGTGAGTGAATGTGAGTAAATGAGATCACATTGGTCGTGAATAGCTTGAAATAAATACGACTGTTTCTGAAAGCTTCAAACAAATGGCTGTAAGGATAAACACAACAGCTGGATCTTCACCGAACAGCTAAGATACAATGGGATTGCACCCAGTAAGTAGTATGGAAGAGTATTAAGATATATCTCGCTCGGTGTGTCCAAGGTTTTACTCCAGTATTATTAAACTAGGAACGGTTTACCTATCGCTTCTGGTCTTTTTCTCACGGTGGTTAAACTAAGTGTCACGGGCTTTGATTAGCTTCTGGTCCCACTCTCGACGGACGAGTCTGTTCAAGGTTGCCAGACTGAGAGAGGCAAAATGACGCTGGAGTTCGACTGTTACAATTGTTGCTTATTTACTCACAGTCAATTAGAAAGATGCGCATCGCCCCATTGGTCACTGGACTATGCACATGGCAACATTGACGCCCGCCTCCGCCCCGAAAGTCCCACCTAAAACCGTACAGGAACAATGAAATAATGCTAATGTTACTCAGCGGCTTTAAAATAAGCAGCCATTGTGATAGTGGTTCTATCCGGGTTGGAATCAAGTTTTATCTAGCCTCCTCCGGTCGAGTAGACTGTAACCGATGGGCTTGATTTATAAATCTGAGAAGTGGTTTTCGATTGGTTTTTATTCGATGGAACACTTCTTCTTACCAATTGTGCAGGTAATTAATTCTTTGGTGCACCTTTGCGCTGTTGACACGTCAGTGAAGATCGTTCAAGAGGAGTGCTGACCAGTCCCAGATTTTACAAGCAGGACGGATTCCCAACCAGTAGAGGAGTACTCGGAAGACTGGTCCGTTACCGATTTGACTTGACGCAACTCGGTTATCAGTGAGAGAAACAACAAAATTTTGTTACAACCGAATGTTCATTCTCTGAAAGAACCAAGACTATTGGTAATGGTGCATTGTCATATAGACCTTTTGTCCAAATCCCTCTATCATCGCCACAATTTTCCACTTTCCGATCATTAACACTTTATTGATCACAGCCTGATCACCGAATGTGGATATCACATTGCTTTGAGACTGGCAAACAAGTTTGTTTTAGTGCTTCATTGACGAACCGAATTCAATACAAAATT